CTTCCCTAAGGACGACCTTGCCTAACTTTATGAATTACACTTGTTCACTAAAAGGTTGTCGTATGTAAATAAACTTGGTAAGAAGCACATTCATTCTGCTCTCTTGTCAACCCTCCTGCTTCATTTTTTCACTTTTCTGAAGTTTCATTCACTAATCTTCAGTCTGAGTTTGCATCGCGTCTCACTGACTGGAATGTTATTCTTTAGTTCTGTTTTTATTACTGCCCATACTCCTAAACCATTTAGCATTCCTGAGTTCACTGGAGTCAAGTACCACTAGTCCTACTGAAAAGCAATCTGCTCATATAAAATGCTACCTAGGCTGAGACTCATTGTCCACGCAGCCCCTGGTTCCCTCCGTAATGGTAACGCTGAAGCCCATTGGTGGGAGAGCCTGCGGTTCGCCCCTTGAATAGGCAGACTGTGGGCTGCCTTCAGCCACCTTCAGGGTAGCTCAGTAAGGTTCTACTTACACAGCTCTCCCTGGGGTCCTTCCTGTGAACTTTGGGCTCTTTGTGGGCAGGGATGAAGCCTTGTGGACTTTTATTGCCTCAGACAATATCCAGTGCATACTGGAGGCCTCACTGTGATTTTTAACTTTTGAAGATTTCTTTACAGCACTGACTGGTAGGGCTCAGTGGGTTGGGCAGCATCCCGCAATCTGAAAGGGTTGCTGGCTGGATTCCTGGTCAGGGCACATGCCTGGGTTGTGGGCCAGGTCCCAGGTTGGGGGCGTTCAAGAGGCAGCAGACTGATGTTTCTTCCACACATGGATGTTTCTCTCCCTCTCTTTCTCCCTCCCTCCCCCTCTCTACAATTAAAACCTTAAAAAGATTTATTCACGTAATAACTCTCACCAAGTGTACTGCTTGCTGTGTAAAAGCAATAGTTTTATTTTTCTAAAAATAAAAAAGAAAACATAATTCAAAAATGGTTTAGTGAGTATCGACTCCAAAATATGGTAACAAATTTTATCCTATTCATTGACTTATCCTATTCTGGACACAATAAATCCTTTTTTATTCTTTCTTTTTCAAGCCAAAGATTCCCTCTTGGTTTATTTTCATTTTCGGGAAGTAATTTCTTCTTATGTGCTTTTCTATATTAATAAAAATGAAGAGACTCAATATGGGTTACATTAAATACCTTTGGCCTGTCTCCCTCTCAGTAGGCTGAGCTGATCCACCCCGGCAGGAAATGGCTTTCCTGCCTCTGAATTCTTGAAACTTGTTGCCTAAACAATATAGTTGGTTCTGTTCACACGCTGCACTTATTTCCATACTTGCAGAATTCTCTCCAAGGAGATAATCTCTTGGACTGGGACTCAGCACAAAGTAGGTACTCACAAAACATTGGCTGTGAAAATAAATGAATGAAGGAGTGGAGCAGAACTTGACAGGAAGTCCTTCCTAAGCTGAATGATGAAAAAGTTTCAGCGACCATGGTTGCAGCACTAACCAGAAAATTTTAGCTTTTGAAGAATCCCGGTTTATTCATTCGTCATTAGCACTTGAGGTGTAAAAATGATTTTGAACTTGGTGGAATAATTCTGACTCTGCTTATGGTGTTCATAAAATGAAAGACTCCTGCCCTGGCCAGTGTGGCTCAGTTAGCTGTGCATCATCCTGCAAAAGCAAAGGTCACGGGTTCAGTCCCTGGTTGGGGCACATGCCTGGATTGTGGGTTCAGTCCTGGTTGGGGCATGTGCGAGAAATAACTGATCAGTCACACTGAAGCTTCTCTCCCTTCCCTTTCTCCCTCCCCTTTCTCTAAAAAATAAACATTAAAAAAGATTAAATACTCCTGTTTAGTAGTATCTTTCATTTCTTATTCTTTTCTCTGAACTTTTGGATCTCTCTGCAAATGTTACTTGAAAGATAACCAGTATATCTGTTACTCCCCTTACAAACTTGGTTGATGCCAGCCTCAAATAGAAATTCTCTAGCTTTAAACTCCAGGCTCTTCTTCCTTTGTATTTCCTCTAGGGTCGTCTCTGTAGAACTAAATGTCAGACCATGCAAGGTGATTCAGGGCAGTTGTTTTAAAAAGTATGATGCTTTAAAAGTTTGCATCAGTGTTGTGTACGAGTCTGAACACACAGTATGCAGAAGGGGCAACACAATGACTTGTGAATTGAATGTCTCGCTCCTTGCTCTGTTTTGACCAAACTTTATTTAATGGAGTTATGAAAAAGAGTAGGAATCAAAACACATGGGGGATCACAGAGGCTGTTATGTTTATTGTGCAGAACAGACAGTGATAATCCACTGAGAAATATTTTCAACAAGCAAGCGATTCAAAGTACAATCATAGACAGCAACTCTACATGAAGAACAAAGAATAGAGTTAGAAGACACTCAAAGGAATGGGAGAAAGTCAACTGCAGTTAAACGTCTTGATAATTTTCTCCTGCAAACATGCAGAAATGGTAGAAAAGTTAAATGTCCAGTCTTACTTAGCTGAGACCAACAACAGCAAAGAACAGTCCTATAAAATTTATCTCCCACAAAAATAAACTATATATATAAAAATTTTATGATGTTCTTACTGTTCCATTGGCCACAAGCTTTTTTTTTTCAGTATGAAAAATGAGGTATACTGGGGCTTAAGAGGTAGTAGTGTGTTTTGATTGTACAACATAGAAGACATAAAACAGTAACTTCATCAGAGATGGAAATTGCTCGGTTTCCTAGTTTGGCCAACGTGAGTAACCGAGTCAGTTTTATGAGCTGGCCAATGAGGTTTCAAAAAGGCCCCACCAAAGATATGGATCGGGACCCTTATGTTTATGAGCCACTGTTTATTTGCTTATTTAACGCACAGTTAACAGTGATGTTGAGTTTTAATTCTCTCCATAGCTCCTTTGGTGATTCACAACCAGTGAGCCATCTGCCAGTCTGAGAGAGGTATGCGGTCTTTGAAGCTACCTCCCTGAAGTGGCTGGAAGAGAAACGGTTTTGAGTTCCGTCTGGTGTCAGAACGGGAAGCCACACTGACACATGCGCTCATGAGAAACTACCTCCTGGCCCAGTTGATAATACCATGTTAAAAAGTCAGCACACTCACTAGCAGAGAAAAGAATAAAAACTCTACGTAAGAAGCGCTTAAAATAAATCTAGTTGAGACATATTACAAAAATCACATTTCTGTAAAATACATGAAAATCTTTGTCAAGCATTTTCTCATATTCAACTAATCTTAAAAACACACATTTCTGATTGCATCGCAAAAGCTGAGCTTGTTGCACCTCACCTGCAAAGCTTCAAGTTTCTTTGAAGGTTGGCTTTATTTTATTTACTTATATGCAAAAGTATGTAAAAATGTGTTCCTTTCTAGCAAACGTCTTGTACAAAAATAGTTTTGACTAGGGGTAGCTGCAGTTTGAACCACGTCAAACACTGACAAAATTGAAGGCTGCAAGTAACGAGTTTATTCCTTTTGAAGTCTGGAGGTAGGTCTTTGCAAGTCAATCGGTTCCTTTCCTTAAACAATTCATTTGAGGTACAAACTTGGAGGGTAATATTTAAACATTACAGTCAAATTTTGTGTGACATGTAGTGTGAATGAGAGAAAAGATCCTTAAGAACCTAGGAGCGACTTGGTTAAAAAAGTGTTCAACTTAATGTAGAAATCTAGCGGAGAAGCTGAAACAAGTATTTGTAAAATTTTAATTAAAAAAAAACGTAGAAAAATACATAGCCATGCTGACACACAGGAAGGAGACTGCTTCTTTAACTGTAGTTTAAGTATACAAAAAGAACTGCGATTAGTATCACCTACCCATTCGGTTTTTTCTCTTGCATTGCTTGTGGATAGCAGCATGTAAAAAGTACTAGACTGTAAATTAATTGTAACATTCAGAGGTAGTATTGAGTAGTGGGGATATATTGCATCTCTGGCTAAAAGTGCAGTTTGAATGAAGAGACGGTGAACTGAAGCCAAAGTAAAGCACCTCAGTCAACCATCCTATGTCAAAACGTATTACTTGAAGTAACACATATACTTGATTTGAGGTAAGTGGTATTTAGGTCTTTCATGGAAACTGATACACAATGGAGAGAGGGGAGGAGAGGGGGGAGGGAGAGAGAGAGAGAGACAGAGAAAGACTGCTTTAAAAAAATTGTAGCATAACTATAGCAAAAGAAATTTAGATTTCGCTCCTCCTACCTCATAAATCAAGTGAGTTCATCATGCATTATTCTTGTACCTTTTCATTAAATTACAAAGAGGATGTTTTTACTTATCCAGGTTCCTTAAATGCTTTGAGGCTGACAAGTGCAATTTATTGCTAAATGGCATTTGGCTCTGTAGGAAGTAGATTCTACCCGGATGGTTGTTTTTCCTGAAAATGAGTGTGGCAAGTAAATGTATTCCTCCTACTGATACGTGTGGTGTTCATAAATATAGGAGTTGCTGACACTTGTTTGCTTACTTCCCTTTTTAAAAAACGAGCATCACCTTTTCTGGTCTGTTAGCTGAATGAAAGGATACATCAGCATTTCGTCTCATTTAGAAATAAAAGTTAAAAAATCAAGTAAGTGTCTACAAGATTATACGAAAAAGAGAGAAACAGTATCTATTCCTATCTTTGGTGTTCTAAACAGAAGCTTGACTATGGCGAGCGGGGTGGGTGGCGCTGGAGGCCGACAGTGTTGCACACCGTGCCTTTCCTATGTGAATGCCCGACGTCACGAGTGTGACAGGTCTCTGGTGTGTGTGCAGTGCAGTGATTGACTCAACCTGATTCAGAGTTTTTCTCACCCACCCACTCTGGCTTATCAGATCAACAAACTATTAGTAGGTTAAGAAAAAAGAAAACAGTAATTAAAAGTTGCATTGTTAAATTGTGTCCCCTGTGTTTACAGCAGTTTTTCACTAAACCTGGGACTGTGAAGGGATTACAAAGAAGGTGAGTAATATAGTCCTTTTTAAGGTTACGTGATTTCTCCCCGACCCCCACCCGTCCCCCACCCCGCCCGCCCCGCCCCCGATGAAAGTGGAAAGACCATGGCAATAGAGAGTAAGTGGTCACTGCAGTGTCTTCTCCCTTCAAAAGATCCAACTGCTGCTGAGGTAGAAATCAAACGCTGGCGCCCCCTAATCCTCTTCCGCAGACTCTTGTGAGGATGTCTCTTCGGTCTCCTCCTGGAACACACAAAGGGCACAAGCGTCACGCTGTGTGGGCTGTTCTTACAAACAGTTCAGAGTGACCTGCTTCCACAGCACATCGTACTCGCTCCAAAAGAGGACACGGACGGTGGGCAAGCCCCTCATTCCCAGGGCTTCTGACACTGTCATGGAGGAACCAAGGTGTTGTTTTTTCCCAGAGCAGTCATCAGCCGCTGTTGACTTAAGGCTTGACAGCATGGCGGCTGGTCAGCAAATTCAATTGTTTGCAGTCCAGAGTACATCAGACCAATGCAAGCTTACTCACCAATTAAGAGTAGAAAAAGAAATGGGTGCTTTGTTTTCCCTCCAGACAGCATGCCACTCAACAGTTTTAAAAACCGTCGTACGAGTAAGGAAAGTAAAGTTCAGGAGATCCTTAAGGCATTAATAACCATGTTGTCTAGATACTGGTAACCATAGCTGATACTTTTATGGTGATTACTGGATGCTTTTAGGGACTATCTTCTCTTATTCCCATTTTACTGGTGAGAAAATCAAGGCACAGCAAGCCATCTACTCAAAGCGACAGGGGGAGTAGGGGGAGAATTCGGGCAGGGCCAGATGGGCGCCAGAACCTGTGTGTGACCACAAAACTACTGCCACTGTCCATGGCAGCATGGGGGCAGAAGGGAGCTCCGCCGCAGGCTGCAAGAGCTGGCTACTGACTTCCTCTCTAAATCGGCTTCCTCGATCTTGGATGTACTGAAGCCCATTTTAAGACAACGAACAAAGTTTGGCATCACTGCTCAATCTCAACGCTAAATCCATATCGACCAAGTTTAATGCTGGGCTGGACAAGCAGAGAAAACCTAGTATGTATGTTTTTGCAGGGCCCCCTCTTCATATAAATCCAATTCCTCCTTCTCTCTTCCTTTTTCTGATTCCTCGTGGTTCTGGAATTTATTGGCGTTTCTGCACGCTGGCTTGAGCTGCACAGTTCTCCTTCCTTTTGCTTATTTTAGAAATGTGCAGTACCTTCCAGGCCATGGGTGGCAGAGCGGAGACAATAAACATTTCTGATAAAAGCGACGTTACTGAGAGGATGATTTTAATCGAATGCTGCACACTGTCTCACAGGACGGCATGTGAAAAAGATCTGGGAGAAGAGGTAAACATTTACCCCGGCAGCAAACTGAGCCCCTTTAAGAATGGCCAGCTTAGAGCAGCTTATAACCGTCTTCCTACTTTAATAGATTTGATTTTCCACACGGCTTCATTTTGTCTGGGTGGCTAACTGACACAATTTATACCTCTCTTCCTTTCCCGGGTCACCACAGTACACCATTCAGTAACGCATGCCTTAAAGCTTGTCTGCATTATATGGCCAAACTTCCATTCATTAGTGTTTGAAACACTTCAGCTGTGAAGGAGCTCCTAAATGCTACCATGTGTGACGCTTTTGCGTAAACGCAGCAAACGGAGGGAAAAAAGCCCACATGACCCGACACTCTCTCTCTCACACACACACACACACACTCACTCACTCACTCACTCACTCACTCACTCACTCACGAACTCTGTCCTGGGCTTTAATCACAGGCCACTGCTTACTGCAGACCCTTGGCAAAAGGCTTCAAACATTCTGCCCCCAAAAGACTGAGAGAGCTGTAAATTCTGGGAATAAACACACCTACAAATGAATGGATCACAGCTTAAAAAATATAACCACAGCAGCATCAAGTCATGAGATTTCACACCAGTTTTGTTTAGTCTGCTTCGGGTTATGTGGGAAATGTGGAACGGATGAAGCTACCTCCCCTCCACTCCTAAACCCTGAACTTCAGGCTTTGCATATTTAAGCAGCAGGTTTATACCTCTTGATAGGCAACAGGCCATGACCCTGAGACTCTCTGTGGAGTCTTGGCCACAAAGGAGGATGTTGGGTGATCAAAGCCATGAGCAGACGAAAGAGAGACATGCCAAGGTTCAGCTGCCCAATGACCTTCTCTTTTCACTTAATATTTAAATTCCAGAAAGTCACTAAGCCCTCTGGCAGATACACTCCTCATCTGTCCCCAGATGACTCACTTCTCATGATAACATGAGGTATGAAACAGGTCACAGCATAAGAGCTGGAAGGTATATCTTACTCCTTCTCCTCATGGTTAATAAACTGAGAGAACTCAGTCAAGCTGGAAACCCTCCTGGATCTAGCTGTAATCATTCCATTTCTAACTGCTCAATTTTTCTATACCCTCTGGAAACCAAAGTACCAGGTTTTTTGGGACCATAAGACACACCTAGGCTTTAGAGGAGGAAAATAGGAAACATTTTGAAGCAAAAAAATGTGCTAAAATATTTACTAACATAAATAACATAATATTTCACCAATGTAAATATAAACAGAACTCAACAGCAGCATTAAAAACCATTATTCCTCTCAAATTTGGGGAAGGGGTAGTGTGTCTATAGTCCGAAAAACACGGTACTTTGCAGCCTAGAAGGAAACATAATTTTCAGGCCGTGAACTCACAGAGACCTTGTAGTGGATGGAATGTGACCAACTGTCCAAAACATTCCCAGACAACTTTGCTTGATTTGCGTTTTTGAAGTTCCTGATATGTAAGTGGTTTGGTTTATTCAAACCCCTTAGACACAACTGAGTTAAAAATGATGCATCCTCATATTGTTTGCTTAGCAGTTCTTAGCACAACACTGATAGTTGTTTTATTAAGGTATCTGTCCACTGACCTTGGGACTCTTCTACTGGTAGTTGTTACTTCTCGTCCTGGTACGTAACTAGGATCTCACAGGGTGGGAGCTCACACTCCGTTAAACTTTCGGAGGTAATGTGACTCTCACATGCTCAATACAAATGCTTTTCTCAAAAGTCTAGTTGGTGGAGAGTGGTCTCTTCTTTGTGTAGCCCTGACTGGCCACCCTGCAAAAGACAGCATGACTACCAAGCAGATGACGTTGGCAGGGCATGTGGCACCTCTCACCCCTGAAAACCTCACCTTTCCAGGGACTTGGTTGCTGGGACAACCAAGTGTGCATGAGATGAGAAGAAAAACCCTTCCTGTTAGGAATAAAGTCTGGCTGGCCAGACTGCACAGAAGGCTCTTCTGTGGTACCAAGAGTGTGGTCCCGGTGATGTCGGGCATAAGGAGCTGGCTCTGGTGCCCCCAAAGAATCATGGCAGGGTAGTTATTAGGGACCCCTCAGATTCAATCCTGTCCATTCACTTAGAAGACACTGTCAGTTTTTGCAGACACCAGCTTGCACCTTGAGATGTTTATTTACATTGCTTCATGTTTGCACATGCAGCCAAAGGCCCTTTGGGCTTGTGTAGCCCCCCAAGAGCAGCTTTGAGGCAATAAGGAGATTGAAATATTGTAGCCAAGAATTATACACCTTTCATTAGGGGCTAGTCTTCCAGGTGGGAAGGCCAAACAGCAGCAGCCTGGTCAAGAAGACTTAGCCTTGGAATGGGGCTTCGGGAATGTAGGATAAAAGGACTTTTTGAAGTGGAAGTGCACGGTGACATTTTTAACAGTGCCAGCTACTAAGGCCTCTAAACACTGGGTAACTCCCAGTGATTCATGCACTTACTTTACAAAGACAACTGAGGCTGCACCAACCGGGGCGAAACTTGTGAATTTTTTTGGCAGAAATCTGATGCGAGGGAAGGGAAAGTGGGCAGAGTTGGAGAACCATATTTTTATTATGACTATTGGAAAATTGCACTCACTTTGAAAAAAATGAATGAAATATAAAGGAATTTAATAAGTGTAACTCTTTCATGGCTTTGGTGGCTTAGAAAAAACCCCACTGAGACCGAGAACTAACAGTGTGCACGTATTTCCGTTAATTTGGTCCGGCAGAACGCACGTGGCGTACACCTTTGGGAACACCTCCACTAAAGGACCCCGGAGGAGGAAGAAGACAGTCCATGATCCAATCAGATGCCCTCATGATTGATGGGATTTTGAAATGTCTAAGAGTTGAATTCTAGATCTTACCACAGAGGCATGGGTAAGGGTGTGTGCTGGAGGAAAGTTCAGTATTTAATGCAAGAGGTGAAGCTCTGGGTTTCATTTTCAGATGCAGACTAACAAGCAGGTTTGCAGTGGAAGGGAGGTCAGTGAATCCTAAAAGGAACCAAGACATGGAAATGCTCTCCCTGCAAACTTGGGGAGTTGCATCGTCAAAATGCTCCTCTTTGTGTGCAGTAAGGAGTCCATGCTGCTTTAATACGTCCTCCTTTTTTCCCCCCTTGATTGCAAAGAATTCTGCAATTCTGACCATAAATGTTGCAGGCTAAAAATACATTTATAATTCAAGTTATCTTGCCAAGAAACCTAAAAATATCTGGTAATCTAGAAAGAGTAGTTACGGTTTTATGACATTCTCCTTTTGTCATCTTAATGTGTTTAATTTCCTAAGAACTTGGAGTGACACATTTAAGAGTTTTTCACATTCACAACTATTCTGAGCCAGTCCCATCCAGAACAGAAATCAGGGGCTCTCCTGGTTGGCAGCAAGGACCCAAATCCGACCGCCGTTCCGTCTGCAGCTAAGTGACCCACAAGACCACAGAGCTGAGTTTTCCTATTTCTCTGTCAGATATTTTAACTTCAAATGGATTGGGACTGTTTAACTTAATGGAAAGTGATTACTTCCTCCAACTAGGAAAACTTTATATCAGGGGTTTTAAGAAACATATTAAATGGAACATATATAAACCATGGACTCTGGCAAGTACAAGGGGTTCTGGTGGAAATACAAGAAGGCAAAAACGTTTTTCGAAAGGAGACATAAAAAGTTGGATGTTTATGGCATTTGAAGCCTGTCTTTACTTTAGCTTTATGTATGTAAAAATATACACGTATCAGGACTATCTTGCATATGTTACTATCATCTTAATAAAGTCAGTTAAGGCTCTTATTGGGAGTTGCTTGAAGTAAAGACAGTTTATCCCAGATGTTACTGACCAGAGCACCAACCGTTAAATTAATGGGTTGTCTAAGTTGTGT